GGTTTCTTATTGGCTAGCTCTGTCTTAATTATTAACCCATAACTACTAGTCTATGTATTTCTACATGGCCTTATCTTGCCAGAGAACACCTGGTGCATCTGTCTTCCCAGTCTCTCCATGGCATCTCTCCAAGGTCTCTCTGCCCATCTTTCCCAGAATTCTCCTGGTTTCCTAGTCCTGCCTATCTTCTTGCCTCTATTGGCCAAACAGTGTTTTATTCATCAACTAATAAGAGAAACATATACACAGAAGGACATACCCCATCAATTTTTCTCACCACCAGGAAAGTTTCCCCTCGGCTAGCTCCTAGTTCTCACCTGATGGGTATTACTGCCTAGCTAGCTTTCAGGATTATTCTGACAAGCCCATCATACCATCCATGGGACCCTTCTAGGGTATCCGGGTGACACATTGTCCTTTCGATGCTGCCAAGTTTCCATGGCTTCACTGTCTACTCCATTTACGGGTGCAGCTCTCGTCCTCCAGGCCTTGAGCACACATGACTAAACCAGTTCATCTGTTTGGTCCATTGCCTTTCGTTATACATACTTAGCCAATTGTACTTACTGTTTGGGGCAGTGATGAATAAGTAATCTGAACAGCAAGACTTGGAGATCTTCTCTTTTTACTATTTACTTTTATTCTGTGTATATGGGTGTTTGGTCTGCATGTATGTCTGCACGCCACATGCATGCCTAGTGTCCATAGAAGCCAGAGAAGACATTGGAACTCCCCCCCCCCCAGCCAGGACTGGAAGTACAGGAGGTTGAGAGCTACCATGTGGATGCTGGGAACTGAACCAGACGCCTCTGGAAAAGCAGCAAATGCTTCTCTCCAGACCTCTTCTTTTGGGTTTTGAAAGGTCTCAGGTAGTCCAGGCTGGCCTCAGACCTGATCCTACTGCCTCAGAATTCTAAGGCTGGGGTTACAGGCATGCACCACCACGCTTTACATACCTGGAATAGTTTTCCTTCTCTTCAGATGGTGAGAGTGGTGTGCTTTGCCAGCTCGCTGGGCCCTTGCTGGGGTTGCAGTGTGGTGGCAGTGTGATTTGCATAGGCACTCTTTGGTGAGTGTGTGTCACAGGAGCTCTGCCGAAGCCATAAGAGAGGTTGAGAGAGGGGTGACGCTGAGTCATTGCCTGCCACTGTCCTTGGTCGAAAGGGGCTGGTGCTGGGCATGGCCTGTGTGGACTCCAAGGACTAAGTGAAATACAGTGTATGATAGCTTGGCTTACATGGTCATTTGGCTTCTTTTTCTTGGGTTTCTGGATAAATTCCTGTCAGATCCTTGTTTTTCAAGGAGAGAAGACAGTAATGGCTCTTAGCTTGCTTAGAAACCATGCCATGGCTGACCTGGGACCCCGCTGAGGGTGTCTTTCACCGTCTTTCAGACTCCATTAGATGAGTGCATTGAGTTTAAAATGAAAAACCCTGAACAGCTATTTGTGTTAGCTGCAGTTGAGAGCTCTCGGCTGTGCCGTCTGTGGTCCTGCAAAGAAACTGTATCTGTAACTACTGTCTAAATTGCCACCTGAATCAGCCTTCCTCTGATACTCTTGGTTTCTCTTTAGAACAAACATGTAAGAAATTAGCTGGGGGAGGGTGTGGGATGGTGTGGATGTTGCCAGCTAGGTCCCAAGCAGCCCCACAGCTGCAAGGGGTCCAGGGGTATGGTTTTAACTGGCCACTCCTTATGGTGTGCTGTGGATCAGAGAGCTGTGTTACCTTTGCAAAATTGGCCTCAGCTCAAGGTAGCCCTATTAACCCTTCCTGTCACCCGTGGAGGCCAGCCACTCTCAGTTGTCTTGGTAAATAAACCTCATCTACAGAGGCTGTAAGGAGTGTGTTCTTTGCTCTAGGCCTCATGAATAGGATTTTTTTGGTATTATGAAAATCAGCAAAGGCAGGCTTACTTTTCTTAATGGGAAACATGATTAGCTATGTACTTTTCGCCCCAAAGATGCAGCCTGTTGTTTTATCTATAATAAACAAAAGAGAGTTGTCAGGAAATGGTTGAGAAATACTATGCCAGAGACCAAAAGACACCCAGTTGCAATAACCTCTTTGAAAGTTAGAGTAACTCAGCCTCAAACTGTTTAAATAATATTTCTAAAATTATTCATCAGAGGTGATGATATAGCTCAAGGCAGAGAAGTTGCCTAGTGTGATGCAAAAGGCCCATTTTAATTAGTTAATTAATTGTGCTTCAGTCCCTCCTGCACTGCTTTATGGGGCTAAAAACTTTCTTGACTAAGTCGGAAAATATTCCCAGTGATGATGTTTATAATTTTAAGCAAATTGATGAGAAATGGGATGCATACATTGGATTGAATCTCTTATTAAATATTATGAATACCTTTGCTAAGAATTAATTTTGTGGGTTTTTTTAAAGTTTTTTTTTTTTGTAGAATGAGTCTATTACACAGGTGCTTGCTACATCATTTCAAAGAAATGATTTTGAAGGAAAACACTTTATGCCATAAGTTGTTTTCATTATTGTCTTCATGTCTTTCAGCTCCCATGGAAGTCCTTGACTAGCATCATTGAATATTATTACATGTGGAAAACTACTGACAGATACGTGCAGCAGGTAACTTTCACGACACCAGCCCTGTTGCATTACCAGTGCTTCCTGTTTGTGTCAGGCTTGCTTAGCAATGTACTAATCCTGAGCCTGGTTGACCTTTCCTAGGCTGCTTTAAATTTCACATCTTTTTGTTTTGTTTTGTTTTGTTTTTGTTTTTGTTTTTCAAGACAGTGTTTCTCTGTGTAGCTTTGGAGTTTCTGGCACTCACTTAGACCAGACTGGCCTCAAACTCACAGAGATCCGCCTGCCCCTGCCTCACAAGTGCTAGGATTAAAGGCGTGTGCCACCAATGCCCAGCTAATTTCATGTCTTTAGGATATTATTTTTAATATTTTTATCTTAATCGTTCACCATTCTCAGCATTTGTTTTCATGACAGTTTGATGACAGAGAGAGATGTGGCTACAGAGGCCTTGTTTCCCTTGTATGGGTGGAGCCTCATCTTTTTGTGATGAGTGGGGTTTACTGGAAATCCAACCCTATTGTGAACCCCTGGATGATTCCTTCTTATGGACTGAAAATTGAGCCTGAGGCCATCAACCTTATAAATCCAGACACTGCTATGATTTTCGGAACCTTCCTTCCATAGCATTTTTGTTTGAGGTTCCTATAGACCAAGTTTCTGTCCCACCTGGTCCCCTCTACAAATGCTAGGGAGCATACCTAGGGCCTTATGTATGATATAGTAGGTAGGCACACTGCCACTAATCTACATGCCCAGTCCTCCCCTGAGCTTTTGACCTTAATTGTAACATATTTGTTGTTATTTTGAGACAGGGTCTCACTGGGTAGCTCAGGCAGGGCAGCTCAGACTGTTCCTAAATTTGAGTTCCTCCTGCTTCGGCCTCCGGAGTACTAGGATTGCAGGTGTTTGCCACCAAACCTGGGTATGGTAGCTTTAGTCCTTGTAATTTGATGCTTTCTCCTCCAAAGTCATCCAAAAGTAGAGAACCATTTAATTTTTGAGTTCTTCCCAAATGTCCCAAATTCATGTATCTCTTAGTTGCTTAGTTGCTTATTTTGAAAAATCTACCTTTGGGGAAAGACATATTTCTGAAATGACCTTAGCAAATGCCTGTTTTAGATTCTTGCGGTCACATGAACTTGCAGTCACATGCAGAGCAAGGCAAAGATTAAAAACAGACAGCATTTGCCTGAATGCGTGCAAGCTGTACAGTGGCAAGTACTGGATGCTATACAAATGCATTTTAAGGATCGCTCCCAAGTGCCAGGAGTTGCCGTGGTCATGAATAGTGAATAGAAATCTACAGCGTATTGAACAATTTCCAGTGTCAACACCATATGCAATTCAGAAAGTGCATATTTTAAACAACTGTGGTGGGAATGGAGACTGTGCTGTCTGGAAACCTGTGCTGTTTAAGTCAGGAAGTGTCCCCAAAGAAGGCACAGACCCAGCTCTAATGCACTTAGTTAAATGTGCTCGGAAAAGACCGTTTTCCAAAAATGTTGACTCCTCCACTTGAAGTTTCAGGTTGTCCCTGAAGGTTTGTTTTCATCTGGTTGGATAGCTGGAGGGTTTGTTCATAGTCTCTCTGGGGACTGTGCAGTGCCCCCCCCTTCCTGTTTGCTTTTCATTTCATGCTCTAGACCTGGTGATGTGTTCTCCTCCCGACTCTTTCCCTGCATTTGAGGCCTAATTGGCTTCAGTACAACGTTCTATGAGTTCAGCCAAGGTTTAAAGTTACTGCAGAACCAGGTGTAAGGGTACACACCTGTAATCCCTGCCCTTGGGAGTTTGAGGCAAGGCTGACCCACAAAGTAGTGAGTTCCAGGTCAGTCTCAGCTACATAGGCAAACCCCATCTCAGAGATGACTGACAGTTACCACATATGGTTCATCATTTGAGGGTAAAGCTTTATTTAATTTTATTTAGAGTAACTATAGTCACTATCTCTAAATACTTTTCTACAAGCAAAGTTTTTGTCTGTTTAGTGTGTGTGTGTGTGTGTGTGTGTGTGTGTGTGTGTGTGTGTGTGTGGATAGTGGTGGGACAGTGTGTGTGCACATATTCCTTCCAGAAAGACAAGAACTAAAATAGAAAACTGAATTTGCAAAAGTAAGAATGGCTATTGTTAATATCCTCTGAAGACTGGAAGTGAAACTCAGTGGTAGAGTATGCGCTGAGCATGTGGGAGACACCTTCTTCTTCACACACACACACACACACACACACACACACACACACGGGGATGGACTCACACACGCGCACACACACACACACACACACACACTCACACACACAGGCACACACACACACACAGACTGTCACATACAGACACAACCACACACAAGTCCTTTTTAGTTTCCTCATAGACAGTTGGGGAATAGAGCTTTTCATTGCTTTACTTTGAAAATCTACTTAAAAAATTTTATGTGTGCTTACAGTTCTGCAGCTTAGAAGGTAATGACATTCTCCAGTTACTGAAGCTTTAGAGTTAGGTATATGAAAGGAGTCTTAAGATAATGAATTGTACTGTAATGTTTATCTTCTTGTGTTTTTAAAGCTATGCGATGTTAATAATTAGTGTGCACTTTATGTAAAATGTTTTGTCCATCTCTCAAATTAGAAACGTCTAAAAGCAGCAGAAGCCGAGAGCAAACTGAAACAAGTGTACATCCCAACTTAGTAAGTAACTGAAGCCTTTTGAAATATTTACCCTGCTCTTAATTCTGTCATTCCAAACAAGTCATTCACTCATTTTGACAAGCCTGAATTTCTTCATGTGTCTTACCTTTTTTTCTTCTCAAAGCCCAAAAGTTGTTTTCTGTTGTCCCATTGAAATGACGTTGCAAAGAATAGAGTGAGTTTCAGAACCCCGAGTAGCCCAGCATAAGTGTTGAAGAGGAAATTCGCCGGCTGTTGTTCTTGTATTGAGCTACACTGCAAGTGTCAACTTTCTCAGTGAGAGCAGCTAAGTCTGTTACTAGAAGCAATGTGTTTCATAGAGCTGGCGCTTCTTGAGGCTTCTGCGTTGTAGGCTGAGTGTTGTTTAGTTAGGGTGCATCATTCCTTTGAGGGGTGTTGCTTGCATGACTCGTTGAGGATTTTACCTTGTGTTCTTGGGCCATACTTTGTAAATGATCAGTAGGTTTTGATTGTTTCCCATGTCCAGCATTCTCTGTCTTCGTTTTCCGAGTTTACTGGCAATTTTCCCATAGGAGTGAATGTCAACCTCGTTTTCATGCACTCTGTTTCAAGTGAGTTGCACTTTTCTTTTGTTGAGGTCTTAGATTTTGTCACTCAGATTTACAACTTTCTCTCTGCTGCTCCAAGGTTTTTCTAGTTCTTTGAACTAAATACAGTCATTTTATATAGATTTTTCTCTGCTGGGGTTGGGTATGTTGCATAACACATTCATGTAGGAGGCTTCATGGACAATGAAATGTGATCTTTCATAATAATCTTTTACCTCAAGGTGTATATATGCATATAACTGGTTTACTTGGGGTTTTTTGTTGTTGTTGGTTTCTTTTTTGTGTGTGTTGGGGGTTGGTTTTTTGTTTGTTTGTTTGTTTTTTGTTGTTGTTGTTTTTCAAGATATGGTCTCACTATGTAGTCCTGGCCATCCTGGAATTCACTATGTAGACCAGACTGACCTTGAATTCAGGCCTGCCTCTGCCTCCCAAGTGCTGGGATCAAAGGCATTCACTACTATGCTCAGCTTTGGTTTACTTTTTAAAAACTGGAGTTTACTCATCCCATAATTATCTAGCTTCTTCTGGGTCGATTTGAGATCCTTTAAAATTATATATTTACTTTATGAATTCTAAATGTGTCATTCCACAAAGAAAACACTGTGACTCAAAGTGTGACCCTTCTTGTGAAGCAGCCTTCCCAGGCCTGCCGTGTTGACACCTCAGAGACAGCATCCAGCCTGAGGCTCAGTGACCCCAAGGCTGTTTCTATTCAGCTTTTGTTTGGCTTTGATATCTTTATCGAGTCAGGGACCCAGCACCAGTCTGGATAGAATCTCACCTGTCACCTGTCACTGTAAATAAGTTTCAACTGAGTGTAGGCCTGTTTGGTCATCACCTATTTCCAAGCCTGCTTTTGACTCTAATCATAGAATTTAGTGGTTGTGACTCTGTTACCCCCAAACCTGAATGTCTTAACTATGGAGCCCCTTTCGAGAAAAGTTTCTACATCCTGATTTAAGTGATCCTCAGAGAACAAGCAATTTCTAATCATACTCATTTAAAAAAAAAAAAAGTGCATCATATGCATTGTTTGGAAATAAGCTGTGGAGTTATATGTAAATCTGAATCCTTCAATGAATTTCCAAGTTAATCCGGAAATAGAACATTGTTGTTTTTGTTTTGTTTTGTTTTTAATAGATTAAGAATTCTCTTTCTCTGTCATACTTTGAGCCTGGCAGTGTCCCACAGTCTCCTACAGTCAAAGCTTTGTGTTAGTCCTGGGGGGTAGAAAGTTAAGAATATTGGCTGCACAAAGTATAGACTTTATGTGCTGAGAGCAGTGACCAAGAAGATAGCTTTTGGGGGTGTGGGGGAGTAGTTTGTTATGTCCTCAAGAAAGAGTCCCTGAGGAAGTATGGGTGTCCTCTGCTGCCAGCAGAAGTACTGAACAGCCAATACAGGCTTTCTAGGCTAGTGGTCTCCTGAGCTGGGCACAGTTGAGGAGCCCAGAGAAAAATGGCATAGCAGTGTGGAAAGAGTAGCCAGCCAGCCATGTGGGAGGGGACATGAAGAATGGAAGAATTTTAAAGGAAAAGGTGTCATGGTCTTGAAAAAGATCCCAGGTTGCATTTGGAACATGGATCCAGGAAGCAGTAGCGTACATATGAGGAGACCAGTTATGGGTTCTCAGGAGCAGAGACGACCCCAGCTCAGCCTAGAAAGGGCTCTGGAAATGATACTGTATTAGGAGGTGACTGGCTTTGGCACATCAAGTTTGAGTCCACTATTAGGTAGATTGTCACTGAGCTGAGAAATGGTGGCACAGTATTAGGTTAGGCCATTTTGAGTTTTGTTGTATCAATAAAGAGACCATGGATATGTGTGCAGGATATATTGAACATACTGATCTTACTCAGGGGAAAGGGCTAGGCTAGAGTCATTGTGACCTTCACAGTATACAGTGGTTCCACTTCAAATCATAGATTAGATCTATGGGGGAAAGCAACCAGAAAGGGACTTTGCAGGAAACTGAATAAATTGAGTGTCTGTAGAGCAAATGGTGTCTCACAGCTGCAAATGGATGGCCCAGTGAGTCATGGAGCTGAGAGGCAGGGTGTGTTTCAAGGGAGCATTGAGATGAGCATTGTGGGATGCTGGTGAGGTGTAACCAGGAACTTAGCGATTTGGAAGTCACCATGATATAGTGGGGTGGCAGAAACTGCTCACCAACAGAGACAGAGTAATGGCAAAAGAAGAAGCTAGCAAATGGGAAAAGATTTTTAAAAAAATAATAAATGTATGAGCCGGGAGGTTGTGACGCACTTGGGAGGCAGAGACAGGAGGATTTCTGTGAGTTCAAGACCAGTCTGGTCTACAAGAGCTAGTTCCAGGACAGCCTCCAAAGCCACAGAGATACCCTTTCTCAAAAAACAAAAATAAATAAATAAATAAATAAATAAATAAATAAATAAATAAATGTATGAGCCTAAGAAGGGCCAGTGTGGGATGGAGATGTGGCTCAGTGGTTAAGAGCTCTTGCTGTTCTTGCAAAGGACCTGGGTTTGATTCCCAGCCCCCACATGATGGCTCACAACCATTCATAACTCCCCTTATGTGTAAATAGTAATTTGAGGAGGGTCCAGGGAGGAGCCAGGTTCTATTTCCAAAATGCTCGGGGGGGGGGGGGGGGCAGGCGGAGATTTTGGGAGCCTGGAGCACAGATTAGGGGAAGAGGGGTTAAAGGAAGGACAGTTTCATGGAATGTCTCCCGAAGGATTTCTTTGTGTCCTTGATTTAATCTTAGGTGGCTCTCCTCAGTGGTCCTCAGGTCTGCAGTAGTCACTGCAATTCCAAACAGTGGCTTATTCAGCCAGGCAGTGTCCTGCGCCCATTTGCATAGCAGGCTAGACTTGTGCCCCTGTCCTCTTTCCAGCACCCCAACTGAAGATAGCACCGGCTCTTTTTTCTCTTAGATTTATGTATGTATTTTATGTGTATAAGCATTCTACTTACTTGTATGTCTGTGTATCTATCATATGTGTGCCTGGTGCCCAGGGCGGTCAGAAGAGGGCATCAGAGCCCCTAGAACTGGAGTCATGAATGGTTTTAAAACACTGTGCGGGTGCTAGGAATCAAACCCAGGACCTCTGCAAGAGTGGCAAGTGCACCCAACCGCCAAGCCATCTCTCCAGGCCAACATTAGCTCTTCTTAGACTCATATATTTAGCCTGCATTTAAATGCCAAGTTTCCATATTTCTGGGAAACTTCTGGCTTGACTTCAAGTGGTGGGAGCATGGTTTCAACTGCTACACAGCAGATTTCTTCTCAATTGGAAATGTTACACCTCTTTGGGAACTTTAGTTTCTCTGAACCACTTTGAGACATGGCCTTTCCCTACATAGCCCTGGCTGTCCTGGAACTCACTGTGTAGACCAGGCTGTCCTCGAATTCACAGAGATCCGCCTGCCTCTGCCTCCAGAGCGCTGATATTAAAAAGGTGTGTGCCACCATGCCTGGCCCCACTCTTTTTCTTTTTGGTCTAAAGAAAGAAAACAAACAAACAAAAAACAACAAACCCTTCTGTTTATTTTGAGACAGTGTCTCACTGTGTAACAGAGATGAAGGGTCCCCCAGAAGGAAGCTCTTCTGTGGCAGATCTTTGTTTACTAGTCATTGAGTCTGTATTTGCTAAGGGTGTGTGCTGGGCAAGCAGTGTGCTATGAAGAAATGGCCCTGGTGTGGCCACAGGTGTGGACCCATTTCCCTTAGAATACCCGGCACCACGGCTATTTTATAGCTTTATGTGGTATAAATGAGGGCCTTGGTTTTATTGCATTTTATTTATTTCTTACCATTCTACCAGATACACCCTCAGTTATGTAAGTTCCTGGTACCATGTATACTATGTATTTCAGGGTGGTGTGTGTATGTGTTTTCTTAAGTTTTTGGTTTTGTTATTTTTTAGGTTAGTATACAAAGTCCTGGGTTCATCACAGCATCTTTGCCCATGCCTGTCATTATACTCCGTTCTTATTTGCTCTCTTCTACTGCCCCCCATACTTGGGTTCGTCTTAGTGTCCTGATTTTGCCAGTCTGTTTCTTCTTCACTAAATATAATAAGTATTTATTTGTGTTTGGGGAAGGTATATTAGCAAGGAGGTGCCAGCTTTTTGTCTTGTCCTACAAATCATTTTTATCGTTTCACCTTGCGTTTCATCGAAAGCAGCAAACCAAATCCCAACCAAATATCCACCAGCAATGGCAAGTCTGGCACTGTGAACGGAGCTGTGGGGACCACGTTCCAGCCCCAGAACACCCTCCTAGGGCGAGCCTGTGAAAGCTGCTATGGTGAGTTTGCTCAGAGGCAGTGCCTGGTGAAGGATAGGGAGAGAGAGAGAGAGAGAGAGAGAGAGAGAGAGAGAGAGTGTGTGTGTGTGTGTGTGTGTGTGTGTGTGTGTGTGTGTGTGTGTAGGGGGTTGGCCAGAAGCTTCTAGAAGCTTGTCACTACTGTGTAGAAACAGTCCCAGTTTCCCACTTCGCTGGGAGCAAAGGGACATTCACTGAGTACTCTTGCACCACATAGGTAACGAAGGTGTTCATTTGCTCTGATTTCTTCTGTGGGCTCTGTGTTTGCTGGCAGGTTATTGTTGTTGTTTTAAGTGGTGCAGTTATATTAGTTTAGTCCAAACCGTGGTCCTAGGGTATATACCAAATCCCCTTTTGGAGTTCCTCAGTGTTCTCTGACAAATTAAATATGTTTGATACTTCTGGAGGAGAGGCAGGTGTGTGGAGAAACCATGGCTACAGGCCTCAGGCTCCCAGGGAGCCAGTTGAGGAAATGCCATGTTATGACATTTGCTTTTGGCTTCAGGCCTTGCTGTATTTATCTCTGTTTGCAAGGTCATTTGTGTGCCCTTGCGTTTTGCATGGTGGTTGAGATGATCTGATCTCAACATAGTTGACACCATGTATGTTTACATAAAACCTCAAACAACAGTAGCTCTCCTTTCTGTTACTGTTGCTTTGGGTTGGGATTTTGAGGCAGGGTCTGCCTGTGAAGCCCAGTGTGGCCTCTAACTCACTATCCTCCTGGTTCAGCCTCCTGAGAATTTGGAATGTGCCACCACAGCACAATGACATTTCTTCTTTATGTGCATGTTCCTAAGTGAGTACACATGTGTAACGACAAATCGTTACACATGTGTGTGCAGGTGGATGTATATATGTGCGTGTACATTTGTGTAGGCTAGGGGGATGACCTCAGGTGTCCTTATTTATATTGAAACAAAGTTAATTTGGGGGCTGGAGAGATGGCTGGGTGGTTAAGAGCACACACGGGTCTTTGAGAGGACCTTTTTGGTTCCCAGCACCCGTGTTAAGTGTCTTATGACCACCTGTATGTAACCTTAGCTCCAGGGTGTCCAACACTTTTTGGTCTCCAAGGGTATTTGCACTCATATACACATACATGTAATTAAAATGTTTTGATAAAATCTGTCTTAAAAAGTCAACATTATTGTTTAAGTTAAAAGAGAAAAGGGGGTTAGGCTTCTCTTTAAAAGCATTTTTCCAGCCGGGTGTTGGTGGTGCATGCCTTTAATCCCAGCACTCAGGGAGGCAGAGGCAGGTCTCTGTGAGTTTGAGGCCAGCCTGGTCTCCAGAGTGAGTGCCAGGATAGGCTCCAAAGCTACACAGAGAAACCCTGTCTCTAAAAACCAAACGGCACACACCTTTAATCCCAGCACTCAGGAGGCAGAGGCAGATGGATCTCTGTGAGCAAGACCAGCCTGGTCAGAGAGTGTTCCAGGACAGCCAGGGCGACACAGAGAAATCCTATCTCAAAAAACAAACAAAAAAAGAGTGGCACACAATGAATGTGTAAATTATTCTGAATTCTATAAAGGCAATTAAATGTAATAGCCACTATATTTTCTCTCTCTTTTGGGTGGGTGGCAGTAGGGACCAGACCTAGGGCCTTTGCGTGCCATCGAGCCATATTCCAGCTCAGCCTTTCCCCTTTTCCTGTTGTTTGTGAGGTGTTCCTTAGTTGGCACCCTCCTGTGCTCTCTGGCGGCTTTGCCCACATGGAGGTAACTTACAGCAAAGGGGAGGACCACTGGCAGAGTTAGCATCATAGTCTCTACCTTCGGTTTTAACTACCTTTCACCACCACTGTTTCTGCCTCTCTCTGCCTCTGCCATGGGAAGCTTTTGGTGTTTTGCGACAGGGTTAAGCTGCAGAACCTGACACAGGCCGTGTGTCCAGCCAAGCAGTCAGTCTGCTGGGGTCAGGCCTTACCAACCATGATACCATATCAGCCGAAGGTGCTTGCTCAGCTGATGGGGACTTACAGTCTTCAGGGAGAAATTCTAATAAGGTTTTTGTTTCCTGAGTAAAGGAACTACAGATGGATTTCTAGTTTTATCTGGTTCCTGACTTAACCAGTAAGTCCCCTCTTGAGTAATTTAGCCATCTTGGCAAGAGCTCCTGAACCATACAGTTCAGATTTTAAACACTACCAAGGAGCTTAATAGCCATAATATCCTTCGGAAGACTTATTTCTAGACATGTACATAATGAAATCACTTTTAATTAACAAAACAAAATCTCAGCAGCCTAAGCATAAATCAGGATGTGTCATCCAATAGCGTCTCTTAATAGACGAGACAAACACTGATGTGTGGCAGAAACTCAATGTGTCCAGAGTGCTGAAAAATGCTTGTGTGTGTGCTGTGCTTCCACGCTTAGCCGACAGCCTTGGGAACACTGTAAACTGGCTGTGGCTTCAGGGTGCCTCCAAGGTTTCAGTGTATTGAGACCACGACTTTCATAGTATCTCTTTCCCCCTGTCTTTAGCCACACAGTCTCACCAGTGGTATTCCTGGGGCCCACCTAATATGCAGTGTAGACTGTGTGCGACCTGTTGGCTGTATTGGAAAAAGTATGGAGGTCTCAAAATGCCCACACAGTCAGAAGAACAGAAGTCTCCCAGTCCTTCTGCAGAGGTACGCAAGTGCACTCTTTGTGGGGCGAAGACGTCACATTTCCCCGTTACTGGCTTCTTCTTGGAAGCAGGGATGCTATACAGAACAATTTACAAATGAACAGAGCTGAGTTTTAGAGTTAAACACAGCACTGCATACTTAGGGTGGGTGTGAACATGGAAACAGAGGGAGACCAGTCGGATTTTTCTTTTTTCAGGTATTCAAAATATTGGTCTCTTGAGATTATTCAAACAAAAGAATAATGTGTGTGGGAGGCGCTTGCCTGAGTGGAGAGCTTACAAATAGTCTTGTTTTTAAAAACAATTTGTAACCTTTAGGTACTGTTGGAAACATGTTTTTACATAAAACAACAAACAGGAATTAAACATTCTCTTCCCTCCGCTGTTGTGGAGGGACAAGAAGAGCCCCATCTTGGGTGAACAGTAATTGAAGGATGACCGTGGTCATCCTCATAGACTCAGGATGTCAAGTGCCAGTGTCTACCAGAGTGAGGCTAGTCTCTGTCTGAAGCCAGCCAGCTCTGGACTCCTCACAGTAAAACCCAGCAGCATCTCACTGATAGTGCTTGTGGGCTGGGATTGCGTGCCACCCTGCCATGTTGTACTCCCCACGTTCTTTACAAATGCTCACACACGCTGCTTTTTCCTGGGATGGGGCTGCGATTGTTGAGATGCAGTGCTTCTCCCTGGGATGGGGCTGCAGTTGTTGAGATACAGTGCTTCCGAGGCGGGAGTAGCCGTGTGCTCCATCAAGTTCCCCTCTGTAAATCCCGATGTTTTCCACATTGCAGGACCCACGTGTGAGAAGCCACCTGTCCCGGCAGGCCATGCAGGGCATGCCGGTCCGGAACACTGGGAGTCCCAAGTCCGCAGTGAAGACCCGCCAAGCTTTCTTCCTCCATACTACGTATTTCACGAAAATTGCTCGTCAGGTCTGCAAAAACACCCTGAGGCTGCGGCAGGCAGCGAGACGGCCGTTTGTTGCTATTAATTATGCTGCCATTAGGGCAGAATGTAAGACGCTTTTCAATTCTTAACCTTACACGTTCGCTCCTCTCACCATCCTCTCTTTCCCCTCGCTCTCTCTTTTTGTTTGTTTGCAATAAACATAAGTTCTTGTGTACAGCCTTTGTTTTTTTTTTTTAAACATTGTTCTTGTCTGCTGCCATTTATATCATGCCACCCTGAAAACACAACGTTGAAATCCCTGGGAATTTTCAGAGTAGAGCTAATCAGAAGGCGGGGAAGGTGACCTTACCCAGTGGACTTTTGTGACACAGTGTCCAAAGGGACCTTAACCGAAGCACTCTGCCTGTTTGGTAGTGCGGCAATGTAAACCCAAGGGGTTGTCTTATGATAAAATTCCCTGCTGAATCAGCACAGTCCTGTCTTAAGGATTCATTAGGTTTGAATAAAATACACTAATTAATACTAGCTAGTCTGTCTTGGCAAACCTCTTACATTCCCAGGAACCTCTTATAGTCATCCTACAGTTTATAGGAAACAGTGCTTCGTAACTAATCCCACATTTGATAGACAGTGTAATATATAGTAAGTAAATCTAAGAATCCTCCTTAAGGAATTCCTGAACACACACATTTAGTTTTTACACGTTACCACGTATTGTGGTTGAACAGTCTTTGTCCAGTTTGGTTTCCATTTCATAATCATGCATTATCTCATAGCATCTACCCAAGCTCTTTGTTTTCAACACATTCAGTCTTGCTTATGTTTCTTTTTTGTTGCTGTTGTTAGAGCAAAGGTTATCTGCTTGACCTGTGGGCTCTTCTCTTATTGCCACATGTCTGAAAAGGTACCCATGATTTGTGTTAGCTGAGGACTCATACTTGGCTGGTAGAGCCATACAATTTCTCCCTAAAGGATTTAAAAAAAAAAAAAAATGGCTGTTGGCTTCACAGATAGAAAACCTTAAAGACATTCAAGTGCTTTTTCTGTGCGATAAACTGATTATGAAGAGGGTAAGGTGGCACATGGTGCCTGTAACCCTGGGGAGGCAGGGTCAGGAGAATGAGTAGATGAAAGTCATCCTTGGCAATAGGGAATTGGAGACCAGCCTTGGTGACTTGAGACCTTGTCTCAAAAACCCCAAAATATAAAAGCACTCTGATATGAAGAGCATACCCATAAAAGGAATGATGACTGAAAAAAGAATGTCTTAGTTCTAAAAATAATTTCAGCAGAAAGTTGAAAGGTTCTTTTGTTTTTGTTTTTGTTTTTGTTTTTAAAGCTTAAAGGTAAAAAGCCTGTAAGAAGAGTGACAATTCAGTCTCCCACCCGGAGGCGGTCAGCGTTGTTATGTATTGTATGTTTGAAAATTTAGACTTGTCTTTGGTTTCGTCCTGGCATTTCTGAGTTCAGAGAATTGTTTTTTTCTTTTAAGGAACTGGAAAATAAATATATCCACCCAAACTGTTTAGCTGATTTAAAACACATTATTTCTATATAATTTCTTAAAGGGAATAATTTAAACATTTAAGACAGAAAATAAATGAAATCCTCTCATCACAATTGGCTGGGGTCCAGTATCATCTTTGTTTCTAGTGAATGGAAAAGAAGCCATCAGCAACAGTTGGCTGCAGTGAGGGCTGCTTTTGCCTTTGGCTCTTTGTTGATTTTCAATTTATTTGCGCATCAGCTTTGTTCTTGAATGAACTGTGTTTTTATGTCGCTTCATTCTAATCTTTTGTCAGTTGAAGGTCCATGCTACTAAAAATAGGTTTAGGGTTAAATTGTTTATATTCTATTTGTTCAAATACATGGGAAATAATAATGAAAGAACAGTCATTTGTTGTGATGAAATTAAAAAAAGAAAACTATTATTTTCTTCTACTTTGTGTTTATCTTTATCAAAGTATTTAGAGAATCACACTTTTAAAAAAAAATTACCTTACTACTTAAGTTTTCAGTGTTGCTCACCTTGTACTTACTGAACGCTTCTCCTTACTGAACGCTGATTTTTACATCACCATTTCATTTCTGTCTGTACTTTGTTATAACCTCTTCAGTAGATGTTTTTATCTTGGTTCTGTAGTGTGACTGAGTAACCTAATGTCCATAGGCAACTGAGTCTCTCTGATCCATTGGAAATGAATAGCCCCCTCTCTCTCTCTCTCTCTTTCTCTCTCTCTCTCTCTCTCTCTCTCTCTCTCTCTCTCTGTGTGTGTGTGTGTGTGTGTGTGTGTGTGTGTGTGTGTGTGTGTGTGTGTGGTGGTGTGTCTGTGTATGTGTATAAGGGTGTGTGTGTGTGTGGTATGTGTGTGTATTGTGTGGGCATGTGTGTGGTGTGTCTGTGTGAGTATATGTGTATAAGCATGACTGTGTATGTGTATATGTATATGTGTGTGTTTTCCTAATAAGTTTTCCTTGGTTTCTCAAAGGCAATGTTGACTGCCCTTTTATAAAGGTCCCTGATACAGTACCGATGGATGTACTTTCAGATAAAATGGATGCTTTTAATTCTAAGGTACTGAAGAATAGAGCTCCAATGAATACATTTGGAATAACCAGTAGTGTTGGAAAGGAAAGCCGTTCTTTCCGAACAGCACCGTAGCCAGTGTTGTAGGGACTACTGCACTAGGATGTAGAAGAGGGAAGCCACTGAGCTTGCTGGTCCTGGGTGGCAGGGTCCAGCACCTGAGAGTGTTTCTCAGTGGGCGGTCCCTATTTTAAGAGGGCTGTTTTGATTGGTTATGGGAGCATTCATCAGCCTTTCAGCAAGGAGGATGCACTATGGCTTGCAGCATTGTGAATGGGGGATTTTGCAAGAAGTAATAGTAGCCGAGGGAGGGGAAATGGGAAGCTTGGGTAAAAAGGGTGAGAATGTTACAGGAATGTGTTTCCTATTAAATAAGTAAGTCTCCCAGCAGGTGCCTGTGACCTCAGCACTCAGGAAGCAGAGGGTGGGGAGCATTACTACTCCTTTGAGGCCAGCTGGGCTACATAGTGAGTTTAATGCCAGACCCAATCTCAAAAGAAAAACGCAAGCATATAGATACATACTTGATATGTATGTACCAAAACTGTTTTACAACCTGGGCACAGAAGTCTGGCTACCTGACACTCAGAACCTTACACTGAAGCTAACTTACAGGGCATCTGCAGCATTACAGAGACGTGGGTGGCTAAACTCCCTAACAGAGCAGGTCGGGATAATTTGCCTGCCACCTTGTTAGTTTGCAGAGATGATTAATTCCTGAGTTACAGAGTGAGCAGCCATAACCCCATCATGAAGTTACTTTGTGTCCCTTGAAGAGATTTTTTTTTTTCCTGTTTGAAGATGTGAATTCAGCTTTGAAAGCATCCAAGACCCCATTTCTTGAGATATTTGTCACAGGGGAGGTTTTGTGTTTTGTTTTGTTGACAGAACAAAAAAAGTTACTGTGAGGAATTGCACAGACTTACCTGAAATTGCAGGCTCTGTAGTGGCAGCAGAGCCATCTAGGCCTGCTTCTCTTGCCATTGTGTTTACCTTCAATGGGAATTTGTTCTTGGGTGGTAATTTACATTTTAAATTTGCTTACTTTGTGTGTGTGAGAATTTGGCGTGCGTGCATGTATGTATGTGTTGTACCACATGTATGTCCAGCACATGGAAGTCAAAAGGGGGGTTAAATCCTCAGGACCTAGAGATATGAATGGTTTTGAGCAACCGTGTGGTTCCTGGGAACCAAACCTGGGTCCTCTATAAGAGTAACAAGTGCTCATAACTGCTGTGCTTAAAACTGCTCTGGCTCTTAAAACATTTTTTTATGAGTTATGCTTTGGTTTCAAATCACATAATCTTTTTCCTTCTTGATATATGTTCTTCAGAAGCACCCATTGGCATCGTGCATTTTTAATTTTAATATCCATTACCCAGTTGCCTTCTGAAAATCCAGTTTATACTCTCAGCTGCTATCTTGAGTGAATAAAAGCCCAACTCTCAAGAATCCTGGCAGAGATGTTACCCATCTTTGACACCCTTAGCCAGGTGATGGATGAGGCATAGCTACCAGCTTCCAGTTTGTATTGCTAGTGACATAGAAAGTCATTGCAAGGAATTGAAGGCAGTGTGTATTTCCTGTCAACTGCTTTTGCTCCTTTCTGTTCCCTACTGGAAGTCTTCCTGGTTCATGGAAAATTTTATCTTAGCAAGGTTACTTTAGGTCTGTGACACCAAATGCCTCCTTCCCTTTTTGTCATTGACTTCGTCTGTGTTGTATTTTCCAAACATCATTGTGTGTGTGTGTGTGTGTGTGTGTGTGTGTGAGAAAGAGAGAGAGAGAGAGAGAGAGAGAGAGGGGGGTGGGTGGGGGAGAAACATGGCCTCTCTGTAGACCAGGCTGACCTTGAACTCACAAAGATCCACCTGCTTCTGCCTCCAAAGGCTGGCTGGGATTAAAATGCCACCACACCAGCTAAATGTTTCACTCAAAAACTGTGTTATAGAACCTGAGAACAGTGTTTAAGCAAATTCTATGTATGATTCTGTTCGACAGAGATCTCAAAGGCCACGTCAGTGTTTTTATGAATTTTACTCTGTGTGTGTGTGTGGTTACTCATGTGGGCACCCACATTCGGGAGCTTATCTGTGGAGGTGACAGGACAGCCATCAGCTGTCAACCCTTGCCTATCTCATTTGAGGCAGTGTTTCAGAAACCAGGCTGGCTGACCTTTGAGCTCCTGGAGACTCCTCAGCCTTTATCTCCCATCTTCCCCTAGGGGCAGGCTTGGATTACAGAATTCAGATTTCAGGTTGTCATACTTGTGGCCCAAGCACTTTTACCCACTGAGCCATTTGCCCAGCCCTTATTTGTGCATTTTAATTTGCTGTTTTGCAGCTTTTCTATTTTATAATCTCCCTCTGCCCCCAGGATTTCCAAAATGTTAGGGAAAGGGTCAGAAACTGGCACAAAAGTGTTGATATTCTTATGTTTACCTAAAGGAATGCAGGCCCTGCTGTCGGAAGCTGAAGAGATGAGCCTAGTGCCGAGCCAGTGCCACAGTGAGATTCCACCATCCTCTCTTGATTCCCTCTGGCTCCTATGCACAGCCCTCAGCTGCTTCTTTTATCTGCACATTGTAGATGTTTTACTCTCTGTTGAACTAGAGATGCTGAGTAATTTGGGGATAAAGGAAAGACAGATGGCATAAAGCTTGGTGTAGCCTGTCCGGTAGGTAGACCAGGAGTACAGCAATGTGGATCAGATAATCTGGTTTGTGAACATTCCAGAATGTGTTTTTCCTACCTAATGGCTGCCGTTTTTTTCTTACGTTAGAGCAAGGCCAGGGGCCATCTTAGCCCTTTTTATCCTAATTTCTTTATAATTGACTGATAACTTTCAACGCCAGCTACTTTATTTTTTTTTATCTTACTGACATCTTTCTTTAAAATAGATTTATTTAGTGGGATAAGGATCCTGCTGGAGAGCTTTGATCTCCAGAGGGGACTTGTAAGTTTTCCCTGAGAATACCGAATAATTGGTGCTACCAGTGTGAGAAATTAGAGGCAGTTTGCTGTAGTTCTGAGTGAACCCTGTTGGTTCGGAGATCACAACCATCTTTGATGCATCTGCCGGCTCTTGTCAAAGTGACAGGAATATCCTGTTGTTTGTCAGTTGTAGCCATGTTGACAGTTTTCCTGGTGTTCTCTCAGAGTAAAGGGCAAAGTTTATCTTGTCCCTGGGACGATGAAGAGTGCTTTTGTCCAAGATGCTGAGAAATTTACCAAGATGATTCACTCAAGCTACTTGAACTAATGGAGAAGAAGATGAAAAACAAAAGCATTTCCTCTTGTCTCCTCTCCAGACATGACTAGGATTTTAGGCAAAGCAGTCCCATAAAGAAGGAACTTTTGGTATTAATGTTTGGTGGTTTGACCAGTGTTTGACCCGTGCAGTGTTTGGACTGCTTCTGATCTCTATTTAGATTGTATTTCTTAATATGCTTGTTTAAAAATGTGCTTAATTCTGCTCTTATCACCATTATTATTCAGTAACAGGTGACAAACTTCACAATTTAGTAATCCTCCCAAAGGTGATCAACTAAGCGAAGAGGGGGAAATGAGATCATTTATAGTTGTCAGTGGCTGCATGATAGGCAAACAGTGCTTGGGGCACTGACTCAAACTCCTGGTGTTTCCAAGCTACCTGCAGCATGTGTTCTGTCTATTTTAATGTTACTTTAAAATGCTATTTCCACCACCTGTTTAATTGTTTTTCAAAACATTTCCTTGATGAAAAAGGACTAGTGCTCACGACAAAGTCCATCTTTAAGTTATTTGAGGTTCCATATCGAGGTGTGGTACTTTGACATGAAATGCAAAGAAGACCTATGGTTGTCAAAGGCAGCTTCTGTATGTGTGCCTAGGCGTGGTCTCAGCTTGCAGACGGAAAAGATCCCTATAGGAGCAGGAAACCCTATTGTCACACTTTTGGAGCTGGGTCAAAGCATAAATGTCATAGATTTATATCAGCTAAAGCAACTGGTGTGCTTTGTTATAATGGCTGATTTTTAAGTCTCCATACACGTTGTCTTTTGTCCCTTCAAACTATTTTGACCTCAGCTCTTTAGTGTGGCAGTGTTTCGCTGACTCTATCCTAACGACAGTTCCTTTGAAGTATGGTGTTTGTGCTGCATGCTTTAGTTCCTTTTCTTACGGTAGGGTATGAAGGGATGAAAACTTAGTGGCCAGTGTCTGCCGGCACAGCGTGACCATTGGATGCATATAGGGACTGTTAAAACCTCAGCTCAAATATTGTACGAAGTGAAGAACAGTGATAGAACCAAATGGTTTTGCCACGCCATCTAATGGAATTGAGTTTTGTCAAGATAGGTCAAGGCTTCCCAGAAGGGTCCACTCCAGCTAAGCCAAGGGTGACTGAATGTGTTGCGTTACCAGCTGTTGTTTGCCGTTTTGCCTTTGCTTTTCCCAAGCCACACTAATCTCACATTAGGATTGGTCCCACCTTGAGTGTCCTATGGATGTTTTTCTATCATAATTAGAAATGTCACAACTAAAAAGGAAGCCTGTTCCATCACTTTGCAGGTGAGCACACATGGCCTGTGTGAGATCCTATACTCACACAACTTTGATGTGAGTGTGGGTGTGAGTCCCTCACTCAGTCTAGGGATCCGAAATTCAGAACAGTTTTCTCCAGCCCAGAGGAAGTAGTGGGAATGTGGAGGGGGTTCTGCATTTTTTTCCACCTGCACCTTTTATTTCTGTGGTGTGTGGTAAAGCTAGAAGAAGCCACCTCACTTGTTGTCCCGTGTTTCTTTCTCTCCTCAGATGCAGACAGACATGCCGAACTTGCTGGAAGCCCACTGAAAAGCAAAAGCACTAGGAAACCTTTGTCGTGTATCATTGGGTATTTAGGTGGGTATCTTCTAACACAGGAAGACCTCAGCACACACTTTACATGCTGTAGACATCTCTCCATTCCAAATGCACACCTGGACTGCATTCAAGTCCTTCAAAGGAGTGACATTAGGTGCCTTTATATGTATAATTTTATTTTGGGCTAGAAACTTTTATTATCAATGAATAGAGTTAAGTATATATGTTTACTTCTTCTAAAAGCTTGATGAATTAAAATTTGTATTAACTGTTATAGATACAATCTAAGGGAAAAAAGTCAAGTCACATATGGTGGCTCCTGTTTATAGTCTCAGCACTTGGGAGGCTGGGGCAGGAGGATTGCTGTAAGCTCAAGCTAGCGAGACTGCCTGAAAATAAAAACAAAAACAAGCAAACTAACAAAGAAGAGAGGGGACATCTTTAAACTATTCAGTAATACAGGATGAATAGCCTAAACATTTTAATTTTTATTTAGATCCTTATACTGTCTCTAATTTACCTTTCCCTTTAAGTAGAGAATTGTTTTAAAAACTGAATTAAATTGATTTTCAGCTTACATTAAAAAAAAAAAACAGTCATAGTGACTCATTCCTATAATCCCAGCACTCAGTAGAGACAGGAAGAATCATGAGCTCAAGGCCTCCTGAGCTACCTAGCAAGACCCTGTCTCAAGAACCAAAAGCAGCCAAGAGTAGTGGCATACGCCTATATCTTAGCATTCTGGAAGTAGAGACAAGAGGATCAGGAGTTCCAGGTCCACCTTGGCTACATAGTGAGTTCAGGGTCCATTAGGGCTACACTAGATCCTGCCTCAAACAAAACAAAAGCAAACTTCCTCTTTGAAAAACAAACCAGGCAGTGGTGGCACATGCCTTTGATCCCAGCTCTCGGGAGGCAGAGGCAGCTGGATCTCTGTGAGTTTGAGACCAACCTGGTCTGCAAAGCTATACAGAGAAACCCAGTCTCAAAAAAAACCAAACAAACAAACAAAAAAAGACAAACAAACAGAAAAATCACAGTAACAAAACAACCCCCCCACACACAAAGGCAAGTGTATAGATCAGCGGTAGGACAAGTGCCTAGGAGGCCCAGTGTCCTGGGTTTGTGTCCCGGTGCCTCAGAAACATGAATGTTATAGTTTTGATGCACTGTCTGTGTTGAAAGCAAGCATTTCTATTGTTTTCCAATGTCTATCATGCCATGTTATGGTCAATTTACATGTTGAAATATAATAACCAAGAATAGTGCTAAGAATTAATTACTCAGCAATAGCTTTTCCCCAAAGTTTTGAGATAAAATGGAGCAAAAATAATGAGTTTCATTTCAGAAATAAGAAGAACATGTGTTTTGAGATTCCAATATTTCTTTTTCATTTTCCCAGTAAAAGGGAAATACTCTGAGGCATACTGAACCTTATTTTGCTGTCAGGAAGACTTAGGTGTTTGAAGTATTCAGACTTTAGGCATCTAATCTTTGAAAAATCAAAGGGTAGCCTTGAACTTGATATGCCGTCTGACCGAGAAGCCCATAGCTCTGTCTTTGATGTCGCTCTGCTACCTTAACTCTTGCTTTACATCTCAAAGGCTAAAGAGTTGGAAGTCTCAGCCACGTAGTGAGTGGCAGGCCAGCCTGGCCTACACAAGACCCTGCCTAAGTAAAATGATGGAATACATGTCTAGTCCCATCACTTGGGAGGATCAGGAGTTCAAAGTCAGCCTCAGTTATATGAGATCCTACCTCCAAAAAATTTAAAGAAGAAAAGCAAGTCTTGTTTTCTTATCGTCCCACATATCACATGGCTATCAGCATGTCCTGGGTAATGCAGTCTTGAAGGCTGCTGTTGTGTCTCTTCCAGGACTAACTCCTGGGAGCCCCTTCTAACCTGGCAAGAGTTAAGCATTGTAGAGTAGACCACCTTCTGTTTGTTTTTCCTGTGGGCAAACTTACCCAACAAATAAGTCCCAACTGTTTCATCCTTGCCAGTTGAGCCAAGCCCCATCTCTGTGTGTGCTGTATTCCACACAAATATGATTTGGAGAATACCAAATAAATAAAACTTTGCCTCCAAAACTTTTAGTCAAGTAGAGGAACCATATAGTAAAAGCAATCAAACAAAGCATTAATTAGATGTGATAAACTAGAGGTTTTAATACACTGGGTTCTTGGAGGAAGACTGTGTGTGTGTGGTAAGGGGTCAGGGAATTGAGCCCATACCTCATACGTGCCAGGCAAGTGAGGTACCACTGCCCTGGGATTGGCTGTCTCTAGCAAGTGCTAGCTAGGTCTGCCTTCTTGGCAGCAGAAGTAGTTTACCTTAGCCTTGAAAGTTTTGTAGGTTTTGAATGGGTAGAAAAAAAAAAAGAATAGGTATTCTCACACCTCACAAGGTTGGAAGAACTAGAGAGACAGAGGCTTGGTGCACCTGAGGTGAAGGGAATTTGTTGTCTCCTCTGGGTAAAGCAAGGCTGGTGAACCATCGCTGCCCTGTTGGAAGACAGCGTTCGCTTTGGATGGTACTCCCAAACCATACTTGAATTTTAACAATCGTAAGATTTTGGTCAGACCAAGTGGTATAATTAATTGTTCTGACAGCCTGAGTGCCTTTTCCTAAATTTCCATAAATTTGGCTATGTTGGCCCTCACATTGGACAGGCGAGAAGAAAGGCTGGTTTGAGCCTACCTGGTGTGCTAGGTGACAACCCTGAAGATCAGCAGATGGGTGAAGCTTTGGAACATGGCCAAAGGTCTTTAAATCCACTGCCTGTGATACTGCAGTTTCTGCGTGCCTGTGAAAACAAGTGGTCCTGGTTAGTGGCGCGCAGTAAAGACCCTTGACCATGCGCTAGGCACTCAGTACGGCTTTGTGACATGGCCTTGGTCAAAGTGTACCACCACCTACATTTTGGCGATGGTGTTTGACCTTTGGTGTCAAATTTCATCCGTTGGGCTAGAGAGATGGCTCAGAGGTTAAGAGCACTGACTGCTCTTTCAGAGGTCCTGAGTTCAATTCCCAGCAACCACATGGTGGCTCACAACCATCTGTATGATATCTAGCGCCCTCTTCTGGCCTGCAGGTAGAACACTGTATACATAATAAAAAATAAATAAAATCTTTTTTTTTTTAAATTTCATCCATTATGGAAATGCTCTGGCCCAAGAATATTCAGTGCTGGCTCCAGACCTCCTGACTGCACATCCAGAGGAGGAAATCTGGGTTTTCAGAATGCTCAAACACCAAATGTGCGGGGCTTCCTGGGGCTGCCCCTGCAAGTGATCTTTAGATTCCTCTCGTACTGAAGAGCCAGGTGCTTTATCCCCTTAGCAAATCTCGTGTTTGTAAGTGACCTTCTGAAGTGGCTTTTTCTGTTTGTCTTCACAACCCAGTGAGGCTCAGAGCTCCAGCCAGCCAGCCGGGGAGGGGCATCTTGATAAGCAGAGCCATGGTAACAACACTTGAAGCTACCTCATTATGCAAGTGCACGGCAGGCTCATGAGAAACCGACTCTCAACTCATTAAGAAAGATGTGTGCCTGTTAGCTGGTGTTAGAGTCCACACAGATTTCCAATACCATGTTCTGAGATGATAAACCTTTCTCCCCGCCCCCTCCTCCCGTCAGAGATCCATCCAGCAAAGAAACCTAATGTAATTCGATCTCCACCGAGCCTGCAAACTCCAACCACCAAGAGGATGTTGACCGCTCCGAACCACACCTCTCTGAGCATCCTGGGGAAAAGAAACTACAGCCATCACAATGGCCTGGATGGTATGTAAACCTGGGGAACCCTGCTCTGGCCAGCCAGGACCACTCTGTCCTTGCCTGCTTGTGGGTGTCCTCAGCTAATGTGGCGGCTCATGCCTGAAACCCCAGCAGCACTCCAGAGATGGAGGCAGGAGGACCACGTGTTAAAGGCCAGTTCCCGCTACCAGATGAGTTTGAGGCTAACCTGGGCTACATGAGCACCTGTTCCAAAAACAAACAAACAAACAAATAAATAAATAAATAAATAAATAAATAAATAAATAAAAATAGATTCCACACCATGACTGGTGTGAATGTGAGCGGGTGAGGGGGAAGGCTGCCATGGGCCAATGAGACACTGCAGAGCATAACCTCCGAGTCCTGGGAGGAGCCTTTTGCATGCATCTGCCAGGCAGTTTGGAGGGGAATCTGTATGTAGCCGGAACTTCCGCTGAGGAGTCTTCTTGCTTCTGTGCAAGCTCACTGCTCAGTTCAAATCTCCTTGCCTAGGAAGGATCATCAGCGCGCTCCCCAGCTCCTGTGATCACGTTGGACTTGGCTTTTGTCCCTGAGTTCTCTCACCTTATCAATTTTTTTTTAATTGCCCAAGAGTGCTACAAATCACGAAAGGAATTGCCTGGATGCTATCCTAAATACAGAAATAATCTGTTTGAAATGGAAAACCTGAGAAATATCTCCTCTTATCCAAAACACTTCTTGTAGGCCTCAGTCATTTATTGACTCTTCAGGTGGAATTGAATTATCTCACCGTTTCGAACCTAAACGCCACAGTCATAAATCACCCAGGCGGTATATATTGTTCACTTCAGTCATCCTGGACTTTGAAGCTGTCGTTATTGTTTAAGTGCTGGCATTTATTTATGAGTAAACCTTTCTCCAGGCTTTCCATGCCTTACAGACTCTGCATTCTTCAGTGACAGTAAATTACATATAACAAGGCCCTAGAGCAAGGATATGGAATAGGCCTTCTAATAATAATTTCCCATGCCTGTCTCTCCTTTGCTGTGATGTTTGATGGCCATGGCTGTGCCAAAATGGGTAAAATACTAAAGTTGAAGAGTTCCGTCTGCATTTGTAAGGTATCAGTGCCTTTTAAATGTGGCTTTCTATCTAGAATCTGGCCACATAGCAGGTTTACACAACACTGTCATAGTAGTAAGACCATTGGCTCCTTGTCCCCCCTGTGCCTGATATGGAAACAATAAAGACCAAGGAAAGAGCATGTCAAAATGTAGAAATTGGATTTTGTTCTAGCCCTTTCTTGCCCACAGCTGAGGGAATTTGGGTCCAGGCTTAAATAGAATATTGACTCTTTCTTTTTCATCTGATCACATTCTTTGCTTTCTGTGGGTGTACAGTCCTACTGCAGGAACATAAAATAGGTTGTGGTTTCTCCTCCTCCTCCTTTTTGAGATGGGCGGGTCTCAGACTTAAGTAGTTGAAGACAGTCTTGAACTTCTGCTTCTCTGTCTCCCCCCCCAACCCCCCAGGTGCTGGGATTACAGGCATGTGCCATAATGCCCATTTTATGTGGTGCTAGGGATCGAACCCAGGGCTCCATATCCACTAGCCACATGTATTAGTTACCTACCACACTGCTGTGACCCAAAGACCTAACGAGAGCAGCTGAAGGGCTGGTGAGATGGCTCAGGCAGCACAGTGCCTATGACCCAGGTACAGAAACCTGAGCTGCATCCCAGCGCCCCACAGATGCCAGGCATCGCTTCTGGTGTCTGAAGCTCTAGAACAGGGGTGGTGAGCAGGTGGGCTGTGTAGACACGGTCCCTAACACTCAGTGACCAGTCAATTCAGCTGAATCTATGAGCTTCAGGTTCAGTGAGAGACCCTGTCTCAAAATAAAACAAGGTGGAGAGCAATAGGGAAGACTTCCACACCCATACACACGTGCACATACCCACATGAACATATACACCCCACACCTACACACATGTGCACATACCCACATGAACATATACACTCCAAACCCACACACGGTGTTTTAAAGGAGGAACTTAAGGAATGGTGGTTTTGCTTTGGCTCACAGCTCTAGGGAATGTAGTCTGTCAAGATAAGGAAGGCACGGTATCAGTAACGGGTGGCAACATTGCAAGCAGCAGCAGCCAGGAAGCAGTAAAAAGAAAATGGGGCGGGGTTGTAAAACTTCAAGGTCCACCCCCAGTGACCTACTTCCCCCACCTGCTAATGCTTCCACAGCCTCCCAAATAGGGCCACTACGAGGGAACCAAGTGTTCCCATGAGCTTGTGGGGGGACATCTCACATTCCAGTCACAGCACCAGGCAGACTCTACCGATGAGGTGTACCCCCAGACTTTCATCTGTCTTTACTGTAACTGATGTTGGAATAGCCACTTTAGAATCTTCCTTTACTCCCTCTCTGTGGCCATTCTGGAGCCAGGTCCAGCCCCCGATGGTCACTGTCAGGGGTCACTACCTCCTCTTTAGAACAATTTGTCCCGTTTCTCTCTGGATGGATACTGTTGCAAGGCCACTAATAGCCTCTGTGCTCTGAAGAGGACGAATGGGCACAGCACACAACGAGTTCTCAATACTGTACTGACCAGCAGCTCACTGGGGACAGATGCCTGCTTCATTTTCCAAACACACTCAGTTATCGAAACTCTTCTTTCTTGGTCTGCTGCCTGCCACAGCTTGGAAAAGAGGCTGGTGACAATGTGCCTTGCAGTGTGAAAACCTAACTTGTGTGTCTTCTCTTCAGTTAATACAAGAAGATCTTGGGGGTGGGGATCACCAAGGAGTTTTGCATACCATTGTAGCTGTGTGCTTAGCCCCGTGCTGGGCACTTAGGTGTGCTACATAAAGTATATAAAGGCCGAGTTAAGGGAAGTGGACCTGGGGGAGGGGATTGCAGTTTCCCAAATTACCAGATTTGACTAGATAGATGAACTCCAAGTTAGGTGCAGCTACTTTGAGTAACTGCTACAGCAAACCAAGCATGTGGTGTTGTATCTCAGGCACCCTAGCACTCAGGAGGAGGGAGGTGGGAGGAGTCTCACATTTAGATCTACCCAGGTTATGTACCAGACTCTATCTATCTTAAAGCAGAAGGGGCTGGAGAGACAGCTCAGTGGTTAGCACACACCCCTCTTGCGGAAGACACAGTGCTCATACCAGGTGGCTCACAACAGGTACCTGCACCTTCCTCTTCTGCCCCCCACCATCACTGCAGCCTTGTGCATATAGCCCTCACACACATCATTAAAAATAAAACAAAAACCCAATGCTTTTTTTTTGTATGTTTTTGGTTGTGAGCCCAGCCTTTCTTTAATGGCTGTGCCATCTTTCCAGCCATAATTTTTTTTTTTAAAGCAGTATGAGTACTATTTAGAAATACAGAAACTCTATAAGGTTTTTATTGTTGTTGTTGTTTTTGTTTTTGCTTTTTCGAGACAAGGTTTCTCTGTGGCTCTGACTGTCCTGGAGCTTACTTTGCAAACCAAGCTGGCCTGGAACTCACAGAGATCCGCCTGCCTCTGCCTCCAGAGTGCTGGGATTACAGGCGTGCACCACCACTGTCCAGTTTTCTAAAAACTATTTTAACAGCTAATTTAACTTCTTATGAAGTCAATAGAACATCAGTTGGAGGGCAGAACAGATCAACTGTTTTGATGTGATACAGGAAACAGGCGTGTTATATTCTCAAGTTGAGAGGGGCACAAGAAAGTGGAATTATACCTATTTAGAAGCCTAAGACGATGCCTGGGGGTGGGGTGGTGGTGGCAGTGGCAGCAGCACTGGCGGCAGCGGCGGCGGCAGCGGCGGCGGCAGCGGCGGCGGCGCACACCTTTAATTCCCGCACTCAGGAGGCAGAGGCAGGCAGATATCTGAGTTCGAGGCCAGCCTGGTCTACAGAGTGAGTTCCAGGACAGCTGGGGCTGCACAGAGAAACCCTGTCTTGATTAAAAAAAAAAAAAAAAAAAAAAAAAGTGGGGGAGGGAGGGGGGGGGGGCAGCAGAGGCAGCAGCTGGGACTGCAACTGATCCTAAAGCTGCCTGGGTGTGGTTGATTTGAACAGGAAGGAGCTGTATGGCTCTCTAGCACCCCCTGCTGGTGGCTTTTTTTTTGAGAGACCTGGTCTCAAGTGTCAGTAAGCGGTGAGATGGTTGGGTTTGGAGTCAAGAAGCCAGACTGTTACAGAAACAAATTCCCAGTGGGCCCTTCCCTTGGAGCAACGACCTGTTTCTTATTCTCTTGGGATATAGGTCCTGACAATTTCAGTGCTAGGAAGAAAGTGTGTGGTCAGCGTAGTGAGTTTTCATGGTGTAGTTGGTACTGTTAATACCCAAGTAGTTACAGACTCGTGGGAAAACCTTGCCCTGTGTGTTACTATAATGAAATCAATTAGCACAGCTACTTAATTACCATAGCCGACAGATGATCACACCGAAGAGGGTGTTGATAGATGGGACTAATTTGGCTGGAAACAACTTGCTTCTGTGGGTTGTTTCCACCTCCCGGCTTCGGGTCTCCTCTCCTGTCCTTGCCTTTCAGTTCTTCTCTTTCCTTTTAGTCAGGAAAAAGTTGTTTAGCCTATGATTCCGTAGGGTTCAGAGTCCACATCCCTCAGTTCTGTATTTCTAAGCTTGTGGTGAAGTCCAAACATCATGGCAGCATTGTTCACCTCCATGGCAGACAGCAAGCAAGGGTGCATTTTCAGCTCTTGATCAGGGGAAACTCTCACGATTTACAAGAAGAAAGATCCCCCCCCCAATTTCTCAAAAATGGGTTTTCTTTTTTTGAGACAAAATTTCACATATCCTAGGCTCCCCTCAAAGTCCATGTATAGCAAAGGATCACTGTGAAGGTGTGGTCCTCCTGCCTCCTTCACCTCCTGAGTGCAGGAGTGCAGGCATGTGCCAGCAGCATTCCTAGTGCATACAACACTGGGGAGCTAACCCAGGGCTTCGTGCACACTGGGGAAGCAGTCTGCCAGCCATGTTACATCCCTAGACCACCCCACTGCT